TTTTATTTTATTTTATGTATAATTGTTAAAATTACAAATTATGCTAACAAGACTAAATTTTTTTTGACCTAATTAACGTACCGATTCAACGAACTTTAATGATAAAGTCTATCTTCCCAACAAAACTGATTGTTTTAGTATTAAAGATTTCAGTTATAGCAATTGAATTCATTATACATTGTTACAGATGAAATCCAAAATATAGGCCAAATGAAAATTAGTATGTTATTTTTAACACCTTAATATTAGAATAAATATTTGCACACATTATGGTAATTTTTATAGAGATATACTTGTGACTCTTAAACTAAATTTATTTCGTGAAGTACATAAGTAATTATGGATTAAAAAAATTAATCATAACAAGATCAAGTTAGAAAAAAGAATAATAAATTGCTAATTATATCATGTGGTAGAAAAGATTTTAATAATTAAATAATAACATTTATAACTATATTTAAATTTAAAATATTATAATATTTATAATTACTCCTTTTACAATATATTAAATTCATTGGTATTATTCACATATGCATATGCTTACATATGTTTATTTATTATTTTTGTGTTAAATGGATCCTCACGACAATTACATTTTGTAGTTACATACTTCTATACGTAAACATATATATGCAACAAACATTGCAACCAATTAGTTGTAATATATTATTAAAATTATTTTGGATATACTTAAATTTATAAATAAATTAAGTGTAATTTCCGTAGAAGACCCTATATTTGGACTTCTTTTCCTTTTGGTTCTAAAACTTTTTTTTTCTCAAATAAGAACTTATCTTTTACATTTACTTGTTATTTAAAAAGGCCCGAAAAACTTAATTTTAATAAAAGACACTATATTTTTCATTTTTTACATGTAAAACTTTTTTTTTAAAAGTAAAAATTCAATTTTAACTTATTCCTTGTTAACTCATTAATTGAGTCGGTTAACCAATGTCACAAGGCAAATGTATGAAATCGCTATATCGGGCCGATATTGAGTGATTGCGAGATATGCAATCGCATAGGTAGCGGTATTCAGAACCGTATGTCTGGAAATTCGGATATCCAAAATTTTCGGGTAGTGGATTCTTGTATCTGGAAAACGAGTTTTCGGAATGTGGAATCTTATATCCAAAAATTCAGACATCCAAAATTTTCGGATATTGGATATTTGCAAAATCTCTTTTTCCATATCCAAATTCGAAAATCTGGAAATCCAAATTTCGGATATCTGAATTTTCGGATAATTTAAAATCGGATATCAAATTTTTTGGATCGGGTTTATTGATTCGGGTATTTATGAACACCCCTACGCACAGGACTCGAAAAAATAGGTTCTGGGTTTTATTAAATTTTCTATTTAATATTTTTATAAATATGATTTCTAATTTGAAAGCGAAACTCATCTAGATACTCATTTCACACTAAATGTCCAAGCACCGATTCCTAGCCTAGACAATAATATTATTTTGCTTTGAACTTTGTCTTGAAAAAGAATTCATGCGTTTTCAACTTGAATTTTGTAAAACAATTCATGCGTTTTGAACTTGGCTTTGAAAATGAATTTACACACATTGCACCCCGTTCGGTTACGAATAAACTTTTTTTCCACTAAACATTTTTGTATTATCATATTTTTCGTTCACTTTTTTTTTGGGAAGATAGAAAACAGGCGAATAAAAGACAAAAGTAAATCTATAATAATTTAGAAATTTTATCCCTACGTATGAAACATGTCGATTAATATATCAAGTTTTCTTACATATCTATAGACAATATTTTATTACATAAATAAATATTTACATCATTTATTTTTTATTTTATTTGTAAGTTTTTTAAAACCATTTTTTCATATTTTAAACTATAACCAACCTAAAAAAACAGTTTCACTTAAAAAAAGTGAAGAACCATAACCGAAACCGGTATAGACATAATCAATTTTGTTTTAAACTGATTTGAAAAAAAAATACTAAAACTGGTTCAAAATTGGTATATGGTACACCTTTAGCATTTGTACAGAAGGTAACCGACTCAATTAATAAAACAATAAGGAATAAGTTAAAATTAAGTTTGATTTAAAAGAAAAAATTTAGTTCTAAAAAGAAAATTTGCAAAATATAGCCTTTTATGAATCAAAAAAAAATACTCAATTTACGTGTTGGTAAACTTTTGGGGCCTGAAATAACAACTAACAGGAAACATTTGGGTCTTTTTCGAACAAAAAAAAAGTTCTATGTCTAAAAAGAATAAAAATTAAAAGATTTTTTTTTGGAAATATCTCATTAATTAATTATGTAGCATCCCGATGTCAAGGTAATTTCAGTCTCGACCCTATGTTTGGATATTGTCATATTTTAGTCCATGGAATTGGAAAAGATTGCAAGTTCGCCCTTAGTGGAATTGTCGTAAATATTGGGCATTGGGTTAGTATGTCGGGCGTACGAAGCCTACGCTGAGCGTACTAGGGTGGACCCTAGTTTGCAGGGCGTACACCTCGTATGCAGGGTGTATGTGCTGAATGTCCAAACCCTAATTTTTAGGGTTTTGGCCCTATATAAACATCATTATAACCTTATGTCCCCTTCCTAAGTACGCCCTGCGTACCTCCTGAGTACGCCCCGCGTATGAAGCTTGATTCGACTCGGCTGTGTTGACTCTTTGGACATGTTAATTTTGACCAAGTTTGACCAAGGGTAATTTAGGAAATTATCATTATTTTATTAATGGGAAATGTTTGGACATTTAGGACTTTGGTGGAGCCGGTATTCAGGATCATAGTAGTGGTTTAGTTTTTCAACAGGTTGTAAGGTGAGTTTTCCTCACTGTACTTGTGGCTCGAAGACACCAATGCCGACTTGTTAGATTGGATATTCTATTATATATCAGTATGTTGGATGGTAGCATGTGGTAGTGATCTGTAGATATGTCTGTTTGTCTGTTGAATGGCTATATGTTTATATGTTATGTGTATGTCAACGTGTTATGGTTGGTTGGGTTGAGGCGGTCCTTTTTTGTGCTGAAGGCCAAGATACTCGGGCTGGTCCGAATAGCTAGTAGGCCCGGCGAGGCGGTCCGGTCAGGCTGAAGGCCCAGTGAGTGGTCTGGATAGGATGTAGGCCCTGCGAGGCGATCCTGTCGTATAGAAGGCTCGGGAGCGGTCCAGATAGGCTATAGGTCCTGCAAGGCAATCCAAGCATGTTGAAGGCTCATTTATTCGTACTGTTTTTTGTTATGTTTATATGGTGGTACTTTGTGGGAATTCACTAAGATTTGACTTATGGGTTTAGTTTATTGTTTCAGGAATTTCTGATGATCGCGGGAAGGCGAAAGCGTGGCCATACACATTCTCTGTTTTATGGACTTATGATTTCAGGATACTCTGATATTAAACAACATTTTGAAAATAATGATTTTGTAAACAATCTAATATTTGGGGTTATTTTAAAAAGTTTAAATTTATGATTTATTTGTGATGTTACAAATTACTTCATAATCCCAAATGTTGGTATAAATTGTTTTCAAATGAAACTTATCCATATACAAAACAAGGAAAGGTATCCTAAGCACTCCACATAATGGTCAGGCTCTTCAAATCACATATATTTCTTTTTTGTATAATATTTCTCATCTTTCTTGTGTGTTATCAATGTAACTTTCTATCACCTATTATCAATGCTTACTTTTTCTATGTAAGTCCCTGAAATCGGATCTATCAATGCAATCTTTTGATTTAATGCGGAATCTTAATCAAACAATGATGCGAAACAATCAATTAGATATATCAAGAATACGTTTCAATAATATGAATGCACACGATTCTATTGAATAATATTCAAGTACACCCAATCACACTTCAGCCGTGAATCACTAGAATTCACCAAAAACGCATTCTAATGAATGGCTATACACAAACCATATATATACTAAACCGATAACCTAAATCCCGTACATAATAAGCCCACCGAGAACACACAAAGCCCACCGAAATTACTAGGTGATTTCGGTCCAAAACTAAGAACAACATAATACATTCAAAACAAAGCGTAAACCACTAAATATAGCCCAACAATCTCCCCCTTGGTTTATTGGTTTCTATTCTCTTCAAGATTCTCTACAAGATGTACATCTGCTTAGTCAAATGCCTCTTCCCACAACTTCTTGTCAATAATTGTAGCTAATATTCTAGTGAAAGCTTTCGCGGCAGCTTCAAATAGTTCATTCTCTAATATAATCTGAAAGTTTGATAAAGTGTGGATATCACATTCTCCAAACATCAAAAAAATCATTGGGATCAACAATAAGAAACTGGTTTTTCTTCAGCTTGATCACCACCGTTGCAGTAGCCTCATCATAAACCCAAAATTGTGTTGTATCCAAAGTGCGTTCAGGTAAGTGCTTGGGAAGAGGAACCTTTTTGGCTTGCATTATGGGTGGCCACATGACATTCACCATTGTTTTGTTTGTGTGTAGATCAATGACACCCTTGGCCTTCTAAGTAAACGATGAAGCAGTCTTTAAGTTTTCAAAGTTATTTTTGGCGTTAATTTCAAGAAAATTATTAAATAACCATGCCATGGTATCATTCTTTGGATTGTGGAAAGGTGCGTGGATGAGTTCTGAAAGATCAACTATTGTCCAAGACATGAAGTCGACTTTCTTCTCATAATATTCAATTCTTCCACTTTTTCGCTTAACGATCCACATCTTCTTTTCAGCATTGTATCCCTACATGATGATGCCAGAACGATCACCATATTTGTCTGTGAACTTCTTCCCAGTTTCCATGAAGAACATTTCTGGGTGATCACCCGGAACATTTTGATCTGAATTCTTCATCAAGAGCATTTTCCCTTTCAGCTGCTCAACCCTAATTTGCTTCTCTTTTCTTTCTTGAGCAGAAAGAGAACCAGAAGATAAGAATAAATCAAGATTAGCATCTGGAGCAGGTCTTGTAGCTCTTTCACTTGAAGATTGTGAAGTTGGATTTTCTCCTTTAGCACTCAAGGTTGAAATTCATCACCAAACTTCTGAAATTGGCGTTGTTTCAGATCAAAGAATAGAGCAGTTAAACCACCAAGATTCGCTTGAAGCTCTGAGATATTTGAATCTTTACCAGAGTTCTCTTTCTCAAGCTCGCTGATTCGAATATCCTGCTTTCCAATTACCAAATCTTTTTCAGTAGAGTTTTTGCAGATCAAAGACTCTGTTCTGAAGTTGAACGACATCAACAAATTCAGACTCAGGCAACTTGCTTTTGCCTTTGGAGATGTCCATCTCGGGTGTTTCAAATGAGCTGCCTGAAGCTTGAGATCCTTCTGAAGGTATGACTTCTTCTTCAACAATTGGGCTTTGAAAATCCTGATCCATAGGAATTGGCTCAAGGAACGGGCATGGAATTTCTTGAATCACTAGAGAGGTCTCAGTGAATGTTCTTTGTATGTTTTGAGCCATAGAACCAGGCTCTATTGGTGTAGATTTCTTTTAAACTAAGTCCGTGATAAACACTCCCGACCTTGGATCTCTTCTTTTTCGGTTCTTTGGGAGTAAAACGTAGGCTGAGTCTTCTGGATAACTTTTAGATGGAGATTCAGTAGCGACAGGAACTGTTTGGGGAGGCTTCCTTGTATTTCGCTGAACTTCTGCTATGAGAGCATCCATCTGTTCAGGTGTCGGTATGGAGGATTGCATCATTGTGTCACTTTCCCTTTCAGTCACAACCGGTGGTGTGACAGCTGCATCCTTCTTAGGGTTTGAGATACTTTGCTGAATAAAGTCTTCAAACTCTTTTTCTGTTAGTTCATTTTCTTGATCCTCTTGATCTTCTTCATCATCAGATAATTCAATCTCTTCAATGGCGAATTGAAACTTTGGTTTGGGCGCTACATGTTCGTAGGCAACCTCAACATTTATTGAAACAACCGCAGGTTTGTCTTCAATCTCAACAAACTTTCCAAATTTAACTAACTCCTTTAATCCTTGGTAAGCAACTTTGGCAGACTTTCTCGATTGCTCCATGAGTCCAAAAGTGTTGGGACCCAAATCTTTCATATCCAATGTATCGGGCGTCCTTTCGATTTGGGAATATTTTTCATTAAAAATCATTTGAAGGAACCTGGGGTACATCAAAAATAGGTCTTTTTTCTTTCCCATGAGGTTGCTCTTCATTTCTTTGAAGACGAACTTTGATAAGTTGTAATCCTAGTCCATAGCTAGAGCAACAATGTTTGAGGTCATAGTCTGACTGATTTCATCAGAGCCTCCGTTTCTTCCGGAAATGCAACTCACGAAAGAGTGTAACAGGAACCTCCAGTAGGGTGGCAATAGCTTCTTGATAATGGGAGGATAGTTTCCTTCATAACACGTTTTCTCCCGAACTTCCTTGACACGATTAGCAGAGTACTCAATTAGGAATGTGGATGCATCACCAAATTCAAGTACCTCTCGGATAATTTGTTCAGAGATACTCACTTGTGTTCCTTTGACCATAGATTCCACTATACCTACTCCATTTTCTCCTAGCTTGTTGATCGAAGAATTTTTCCAGAAATCAGTGATCAGGTTTCTGTGAATGACTGGACTGGCACGAAGGGCTTGAGAGATCCTGCAATTGTTCAAACCCACCATCATGGATTTGAATTCATGATGAGCAGCAGGAGGATCCATGATATATCCAACAATGTTGTGAGAGTCTACGAATATAAGTTCCTCTGCCATTTATCTGCACCAAACTAGCCAAGTGAGAACTAATTTAAAATTAATTAAATTGAGTCTAATATCCGATTTCGGTCAAAGTCAAGGTCAAGGTAAAAATTTCAGTCGATTTCGGTCGAAATCATTTGTTGACTAGACGATTTCGGTCAACGTTGGTTGATTTCGGCCGAGAACCCAGATTTCGGTCATATTGGGTCGGATCTTCATCGGATCTCGGTCGAATCCGGGTTGAACCGAAACTCGAAATCTCATCGGAAACTGTTACAACAGAGTTCATCGGAATCCTCATAAAATCCATTCGAAAACCTGCAAAGTTGTGAAATCGAGTACACCAAAAACAACTTAAATGCCATTGCCATGATCGAAAACCAAAAAGCTACCCGATTCACCGAACAATTTTCAACAAAAACAACGAATAGATAGATTTTAGCAGAAAATCTCGAAGATATTGGGAGAGAAAACAACGACGGCTGTTTGGGTGTTTTTTCGGAGAGAAACCCTAACCAACCGAAAACAAAATATATATAGACCGAGAAATCAGACTAGATGGCCCACCAAAACGATTTCGGCCCACGGGAAAATACTCGTTTTAATAAAAAGGTTTCTTTCGAAAATAAAAATAAAATTAAACACATTTTTTTATGGAATAATTTCTCCCCTTAAAATTGTGCATAACAGTGAAAATATGTACAAATTAAAATAAATAAAAACAAAAAATGTAATAAACAGATTCTAATAAAACAAAAACTTTTTGGGATCAAACGTTATGAAGCAAATTAATGAGGTTTATCAGCACACACATTCATGAAATGATCTGGTCAATCATTGATATTGTGATCCACTTAAGCACAAAGGACATTTTTCAGGACAGATCATGAGTGACGATAAATAGTTACTATATTCCTAGATAGACCATTTTGTCTGACGACAACCACATATATTGTTGTCCACTTAAATTTAGCTAGTAAAATCTACCATTCAGCCTTTAGTTATGGGTGCAATTAATGTTTGTACACTGGAACATGTTCCCCACTTCATGGCATACCCCGGTCAAGGAAATTTCTTCGAAATCCTTTACTTTTTGTGAGTAAATAATCATTGTTGAATGCATATGTTGTGTCCCAGGTCGGATCTATCGATCACGCAGAGGGGACAACATATGACTAACATAGAGAGTAGGATATATGTAGGAGACAATATACTAACTTAAAAGCATTGAACATTATCTGAGTGCATATGTTGTGCCTAGGTCGGATCTTCCGATCACGCAGAGGGGACAAAATATGGCCGACTAAGAAAGAAATAATAACGATTTTAAACAGACCCAAGTTATCAAAACCCCTTAGTCACCCCCTTTCAATACAAGAATTAAGGACACAAGTCCATACGCCAATGAAGTGTTGAGCCAAAGATCTAGATGATAGTTAGCTTAAAATTATGTCATAGGCCTCCTTGTCTATTTTACTGTTAAATCTATCCAAGCGTCGTATTGTCAGTCCAAATGAGGGTTTCTAAGTCCAAATGAGTCCACATTGTCTAGTCCATTAGTCTAAGTCCTTTATGCCTACTAACACATTGAACATAGAGTTTAGACAATCCAGCCTTAGTGCATTACACGTATTTCGTTTGCCCTTTGTCACTAACTTATATCACTTCCCAAAAGATTGTCACAAATTTCTTTTTCTAAAGGTAAAACAAAATGACTATTAATAATAAATACTAAATAAAATTGAAAAGAAATTTTAGTCTTCGAAACGTATCATCTTAAAAAAAATCCTAGCAGCACGAGCTTGGTTTTAGAAAAAAAAATGAGTTTTATTTGGACGATTGAAAATCAACATTATTATCACAGAGAATAGAAGAGTCAGAAAATTCAAACCATAATTCAGCAATTGATGTAATCCCTATTTGTGTTCTTTCCTTTTCCTTTCACGCAAAGGATACATGCTCTCCATTAAAATTCTGAATGTCATCCCGATGAGAGATGTTTCCTATCATGTGCCTGGAATAGACATTATCAATATACTGAAGTCTGATGATATTCCTTTATAGTTGCTTCGGCACAGAGTACAAGATTAATTTGTTTTGGGAACCAGTTCATTTTGAAACTGGGTTGATCTTTGCTATTTACGCATGATACGCGTTCCCAAGTCATATCTTGTTTATAAAACACAATAAATGAAGAGATGTTAGAATTTTTAGGTGATTTGGGAGTGGGAACTTTTGGTACCCATCTGTAGTCAGGTTTAACCATTTTCTTGTTTAATTGGATGGATGCTTCAACACTTGTTTTGGAGCTTGAGACCAATCGTCGAGATAACTTCGACCTTACCAATCTTGGTTTGAATGAACTATTTCTCAAATCAGATCTCTTGTCAGACATGATCTTTTTGTTCTTGAGAGTCCGATTTTTGGTCTTGGCAGTATTCCAGTCACCATCACATGATTTGGAGGAGTTTCTCTTGAAAGATCTTCCTCGAGATACGTTCTGCCTCCCCTGGGCATAATAATGAATATATGCATGATTTGGACAATTTCTTGCAATGTGACAAGGAATTCCACAGTTAAAGCATGTTTGTCTTTTAAAAGGAAAACATTCAAAGCTTTGTCCCTGTCCAACTGAATTTCCACAAGTACAAGCACATTTAACAGATTGTTTCACAACTTTATATGACTTAAAATTTTTAGCTTTTGAAGAATTTTCATTAAAACTAGAATTATCTATGTTTTTCTTGCACCTGTCTTGCACTGTTACTTTCTCTGCACATGAAGTAGAAACATTAGTATCGTTCACCTCAATATTCTCATTTTTGCCAGATTGTTCAGTCTTAATTGAAACAGTTATAGTAGGCTGATCATGTTAAACAGATTTTTCTGTCTCTATGGTTTCAGAATCCGGAGTATAGTTATCATTGAAAGGAGGTTGTACATTGTGATACCCTAGACCCTCTTTCTAGTTACTCTTCCACTTTAACTGTTTTTCAATCATAGACTCAACTATCTCACTTGACACATCGAATTTTTTAAAATTAAAGTCAACATCCTTAAATTTAGCCTTTAATGCATCAATTTAGCAGTTAAGTTTGCAATTTTCTCTTTGGTGAAACGATATTGAACACATTTGTTGCTATATTCTTATTTAATCCTGCTTAAATCTTTAGTTTGTGCTTCAACGTTTTTCTTTAAGCGGTTTGTTTACTTTCTTAATTTCATAGATTTCATTTTTAAGATCAAAAACTTCTCTAACTAATAATTCATTTTGTTCACGGTATTTATTTATTTTATCTTCACAAGACTGAGAGCATGAGGTTTCACTTACCTCCTTGTTAGTAAAAGTGGTGACTGAACTGTTGTAAGATCTCATTATTTACCAATGGTAAAAATCTGATTGTGCAATTTGATTTTGACCGAAGACCAAGATAAATGCCCTTTGACCGAAAACCTTGAAAGTCATATAGTTTGACTGAGATCCCTGAAAGTCAACTGTTTAACCGAAAACAATTGACCGAGAATGATATTTCTTGGCCGACAACTCCTCCGTACCGAGAACCCCAAGTCTTTTTACCGAAAAAACCAAGTAGCCACCGAAAACACTAAGACCTAGCCGAAATCAAAGTCTTTGATCGAGTTTCTTTATCCAAAGATTCATAAATTCGATAATTTACCAAAAATGATCTCAAACAAAATATCCTCCAAATTTATTTAAGAAGACTATAAACAAGATGAGCAACAAAATCCTTTTTCCCAAAACAACCGAAAAACACCACAAACAAATTATTGTTTCGAAAGCAATTAATACCAAAACGGTCTTAAGTCGGTTTTAAGGCTTTGATACCACTTGTAAGTCCCTGAAATCAAATCTATCAAAGTATCAATGCAATCGATTGATTTAATGTGAAATCTTAATCAAACAATGATGTGAAACAATCAATTAGATATATCAAGAACACGTTTCAATAATATGTATGCACGCAATTCAATTGAATAATTGTCAAGTACACCCAATCACACTTCAGCCGTGAATCACTAGTATTCACCAAAAACACATTATAATGAATGGCTATACACAGACCATATATATACTAAACGGATAACCTAAAGCCCATACATAATAAGCCCACCGAGAACACACAAAGCCCACCGAAATTACTAGGTGATTTTGGTCCAAAACCAAGAACAACATAATATATTCAAAACAAAGCATAAACCACTAAATATAGCCCAACATTCTATCTTTCATACTTAAAGAAATATTGTGGATTTCGGATTTATGGGTACCAAAAATGAAGTCAAAGACATCAAAAGTATTGGGATTTTAAAACCAGCAACGTGTACTTTGACGTGTAAGCAAACCCAACAAATATTATATTGTTTTTGTGGAGCACAAAATGTATGTGGCAAAACCAGACAAGGTTGTAAGAGACAATGTAAAGGAGATAGTTGTTGTGCTACAAAATAATAATTAACATAATTATTGGATAATCGTCCAATGAATTATAAAGTTTCTATATTCTACAATATATTGTTGTCGATATGATCATGTTTATGGATTTTAAGATTGAATAATAAATATAGTTTCTTTGGGTACATTCTTATATATATATATATATATATATATATATATATATATATATATATATATATATATATATATATATATATATACAGAGAGAGAGAGAGAGGGTTGGGTTCAACAAAGAACTATTTTAAACCTTAGAACTAAGGAGCCAATCTTTTCACAACTTTTAGAGCAAATTTTTATTTAAAAAAAAAAACTAAAAATATAGATATTCATAACTTTTAATCCTCCGTCTTTAATATCAAATTGATAAAAAGAAAATTGATCTGTTCAGATTCATACTGTGAATTTGTTCAAATTCACATCGTGAAATCCATGCAGATTCACCCTGTGAAATCCATGCAGATTCACATCGTGAAATCCGTGCAGATTCACCTTGTGAAATCCATGCATATTCACATTGTGAATCTGTCCAGATTCACACTGTGAATTTGTGTAGATTCATATAGTGAATTTACTCAAAATTAATTACTTATAGTGCAGATTCACATTACAATATGAATCTGAACAGATAAAAAAAAGTAGAAAACAAAAAACAAAAATACAATTATCAAATTTGATATCAATGGAAATAAGATAAAAAGTTATGAATTTCTATATTTTTAGAATTTCTTTCGATAAAATGGTTCCTTGTTGAACATTATATATATATATATATATATATATATATATATATATATATATATATATATATATATATATATATATATATATATATATAATATTAGATTATTGTATTCTAACTAATTATTGTGTGGATATAGGAATGATTGTGGGCCAATCATTTTACTTATTTTGAGAAATTGATTAATACATATTATTGAATTAAATATAATTGAAAAATACATCTAATTTAATTACAAGGGTATTTTAGTCAATTAATATAGATTTAATAAAGGAAAATTGCATATTTTAAGGGATCATAGATTCTATTAATTTTAAAAATCCGATTTTACGAATTATAATTCTTTTGATTCGGACATTCTGACATAATATGTTTATGAGTATATTCAAAAATAAAAATATTCTTGAACTATAAAATAATAAAAAAAAAAATTTCTTGAACCTATTTATTGATCATGACTTTAAAAAATTTTTGTAGAATAAAAAATTCTTGAACCATCTATTGAAGAATAAAAACAAAAATTATATTAATTCTTATAGAATACGGGTAACAATTTCTAAAAATTACATTTATTGTTAAAGAATAAAACTAAAAAAACTTTCAAATCGGAAAAAAAAACATCCAAATCTAACAGAGACACTACTACATTCTAAAAGAATAATGTTTCTAAGAATCACTTTCATTTTTGTGGTCCGTTCTTTAAGAATCAACTTCTGTGAAAACAAATCCAATTGTAGTTTAGAATCCAATAATGCATTAGCAAATGAAAAATAAGAAACAAAATTCCTTTGAAAAAATATACGGACTTATGAATTGCACAAAAACCAATAACCAAGAAGTATAGAATATTCATAAATCAGTGATAAAATATCAATATTCCATTCCAACAGAATTGGAATTAATGATTCCATTCCGATATAATTGGAATTCAAGATTCAATTACCGTATGCATTCTGTTGGAAAAAAATCCAAGTAAAAAAAGTATAAATAGTAAATACAAAGGAAATCTCTTGTGCTTGAGGGAACCGGACCTAATCAGGTCAAGAAAGAGTCAAAAATATGCAATGAAGTTCCTCACATGATTAGGTTGGGGCAACCATCAGGTCTAATCATTTCAGCCAAAATCGATGGACTATAAACAAGTTGCATTCCATACAGCACAATTTAGAATAAGGTAAAGAAAGGTTTGGGAGTTTGAATGTGCAAACCTGTGTATCAAGAAGTATCATGGCCTTGATTTCCATGGATTCTATCGAAAAAGGAGTCAACATCCCTACCCCCAATGATAACAGAAGATGAGTCAATATTAATTGAAGTCACAAATGCAAGTGTATATACAGATGAAGAAAGGAATGAATGCTAGGCTACCAGGAGAAGTTACATCAAAGCTATAAATCTCATTCATGATAGTAAACTTGCCGACCCCCATCGGACCAATCACTCCGATCACCGTAAAATCGATATTTTCCTTCAAAAACCGCAACCAAACGAGTTCAATACACGACATACAGATAGGTTAAGTTGAAAAAAGGCTAGCAAATTACCGGAAGGAAGTGATCGGTGTAGAAATCCTAGGAGTCGGATAACAGATTCAGAAAGCCAACGTAGGGAAAGCGGGAGGGGAGTGATGATGAAGCGTCATCGGGACCACCGCCGCCTCCACCGCCACCAGGTCCGCGGTTGTACTTGGCGGCAGTGACTAGAGCTGGATTGGCTAATAGGATTTTGGGGGCTTGATGAGAGGAAGTAGACGATGAGGTATTTGAATTTGAGGAACCGCTTCCTCCACCAATTGCTGCCATTGCCGGCAGACTCCTCACTATGTATAATTGTTGAACATAAGTAGGATTTTCAAGCGTACATACCTGTTTATCCGGAGAAAGCAGGAGCCCTCGCCCAAGCTCTCTATCACCGACTTTCAGTATCAGAAAGAGAAAGATATATATATATATATATATATATATATATATATATATATATAGAGAGAGAGAGAGAGAGAGATAGCGACGGTGAGGGGTGGGTTGTTCAGGCACTGATGGCGGTGGGGGCTGGTGGTAGGGCTGTAAACGAACTGAACGTTCAACGAACTGTTCGTGAACCATTCGGCGGGAAGTTCGTTTATGTTCGTTTATTTAATAAATGAACGAACATGAACACAAATTCTCGTTCGTTTAGTTAAACGAACAAACATGAACAATGGTCTCGTTCGTTCAATTATCTTCGTGAACGTTCGTTTATATTGTTCGTTTACGTTTGCTTATTTTCGTTCATATAAATTCATTTTATCTTCATATATGTTTAATTGTGTTTGATTACATTACTATATTATATGTTCATTTATGTTCATATATGTTTGTTTATCTTTATTCGTTTATGTTCGTTTGTTAATGTTAGTTTAACATGTTTACGAACATAAACGAACAAACATGAACAATGTAATTTGTTAAACGAACGAACATGAACAAGAAAACTCGTTCGTTTAACCATTTGTATTCGTTCATTTGTTCGATTAACTTAAACGAACGAACATGAACAAGTTCTGTTCGTGTTCGTTCGGTTCATTTACAGCTCTAGCTGGTGGAACATAGCCGATGTTTCTTTTGCTAAAGATTGAAGGCTACGCTCAATGCTAGGGCAAGGTTGAAAAAGATTTGGGATTAATTAAATACTTATTTAGTTACCAAAATTAAATAATAGGTAAGATTACATATTTACCCTTATTTAGGTTTGTGAAATGATTGGTCGATATTGATTCCTACATCCACACAATAAATAGTTAGAATACCTGAACCTACCTCTCTCTCTCTCTCTTTATATATATATATATAATATATATATATATATATATATATATATATATATATATATATATATTCATAATTAATGTGTTTTTAACTTCATGTAAAGAACAATTGTAACGATCGTCTTTCGAGGTATTAATTAATTAATTTTTCTTAAGTAAATAGTTGGGCTATGTTTGAAATTGACATCTTGGTTTGGACCTTTAGACTTTTGGGCCGAGTTGTAGGTTGCCCATAAGCCGTACGCGGGGCGTAACCCGTTGTACGTGGGGCGTAGTGGCATTGGATGCGCGGGTTGTGGAGGCGTATGCGCAGCGTACGCGGTCAGACACTAAACCCTAATTTCGGGGTTTTAGAGCTATATAAACCCCATTATAGCCTCCCTCCCTGGTTTCTCATCAGCCTCCTCACCCACAAGAAAACCCTAACTCGTTCTTACCCTCTCTTTGTGTGATTTTGCTCTTTGTGAGAGTTTTTAGTGAGAAAGAAGTGGTAAAGAAGGAAAGCAAAAGTTGGAGAAGGAGCTTGAGCTCAGAGATCTGGTCTAGACTCATTCTTTGTCAGCAAAGGAAGGTATAAAGTTCTGAACTTTCTTCCTCTTTCCTTCTAGATCTAGGTTATGGAAGTTTGGACCTTTTTAGGTCCAAAGGTTGAGTCTTGATCTTGTAAGTCGGTTGTGGAGCTTGGATTGCCATCCTTAAGGCTCAGAAACATCTTCCTAGCAATAAAGTTGCAACCTTTGTGGCTTATATGGAACCATGCATGAGATGTAGCTAAGTCCATGGAAGTAGAATGTTATTTATGGAAGTTTGAGCCTTTATGAGACTTGTAAGCCATCAAGTAAGCAACTTTATGGCTTAAGACGTGGAACAAGCATAGGATCTGGATTCGTAGCTTCTGGATCGGATTATCAAGCACTTAATGAGATTTTGGCTTAACAGGGCTGTACGCTGGGCGTACAAGGAGGTACGCGCCGCGTACAAGCCAGCAGCCAGTACGCTCAGCGTACCTTGGTGTACACCCCGCGTACGCTGCCAGTTTGGGCTTCGAGTGTTTTGGGCCTCGGTGTGGGCTGAGTTTCAGACTTAGGGTCCTTGGGCCTTAATGGTCCATCAGAATTCAGTTGCTAAGGACCAAGGATTTATTATTGGACTTGAGTAAGGCCCAATAAAGGGCTTTGGGCCCAATATAGCAAGTTGGGCCATTAGTGGGCCAATAGTGGGGCCAAGGATGGACTTGGAAGGAATTGAGGGTTTGGGCCATGTTGTGAGCCATGCCATAGCAAGGGTAGAATGGTCATTTTACCCATAGGAGAATCCCTATTCTGATTTAGTATTTTATTACCCTTGATAGTCGGGAAGCAGCCGGAGCAGTAGTCAGGGATTTCTCATTCAGGAGTTCAGCCGTCAGCATCACGAGGTGAGTTTCCTTCCAGTAGGAACGGGTCTACGGCCACAATGCCGGCCCGTTTAGTTAGCAGTAGTTCAGTGTGCTTGATGTCTTTGTGATTCAAGCATGATTTTGTGTTTGTGTTCCGGACTTCGGTCCGATGCAGTATGCAGTATATGTGTTTATGCCAGTAGTTGTGATTATGCTATGCTATGTTCAGTCAGTTCCGGACTTCGGTCCGATGCAGTTTCGGGACTTCGGTCCGATGCAGTTTCGGGACTTCGGTCCGATGCAGAGGGCAAGGCCCTGGTTAGTTCCGGACTTTGGTCCGATGCAGTTTCCGGACTTCGGTCCGATGCAGTGGGCAAGGCCTAGTAGTTGCTTATATGTTATTGTATGGTATGTGGTAGTTTGGGGGAGCTCACTAAGCTTTGTGCTTACTGTTTCAGTTTTTGTTTCAGGTATTTCCGCAAGTAAAGGGAAGAGCTCGGGATGATGGCATCGCACACACCACAACTTCAGTTTAGTCCTGGGAGTTTGATCAGTTTATTTTGATATGAGATGATACAGTTTGATACAGTTTTATTACGATATTTTACTATGGTTTGAGATATTTGACATACGGTTGCTATGATATGATATTCAGTGCATGATTTTATTATTAATTAAACGAAAATTTTTGGGTCGTATTTTTGGGATGTTACAAGTTGGTATCAAAGCCTTGGTTTGAGGGATTCAGGCACACTCTCGGGTGTGACTGGACTCAAACTGAGGAAATGGTAGAAAGATTTTCAAAAAAAAAAATGTGTTTTCAAAAAGATTTTTTGAAAAGGAAAACCTAAAAAAGAAAAAGAGTTTTGAGAAAAGGAAAAAGGGTGTGGTGCATGCGATCAGCCGAGCTCAAGTAAGTACTCCCAAATTACCCATACAAGTTTATGTTATGAATATCAGTTTCAATTTCAGTAGAACAGCATGCTAGAATAGGACTAAGGATCTAGGAGGATGCCTTATGTGCCTGCTATATGTGTTTCAGCTTTATGAGAATTGCATGCTAGTATTGAGTAGACAGCAATAGGATAGCCTGTTTAGGTTATGCCTGATAGTATGAGCTTAGCATTGTATGCTAGTACAGTTTCTTGTTATGAGGATAGAATTGCGTGAGTAATCTTTTGTGTCTGAATGCTGCTTGCTTTGTGCTTTGTGGGACTCGGAGTAATGGGAGTTAGCCATTAGGTGAATACGTCACGTCACATGTGAACAGGGTTGAATAATCTCAGAGTGCTAGATTTGGCCCTATTGCGCAGCTCTTGTTTGAGTCTAACCGTTGTAGGGACGAGTCTTTTACTCGAAGGATTATCTGAGCCTCGCCACATGTGATGGTATTCAGGTAATGGCTAGTTGGCATTACAAGGAGGCCTTCAGCAGCTGAGGACTGGATTGGGTAGAGTCAGGGATTTCCCTAGGGCAAGCCTAGGATGGGAGTAACAGAGATCAGTAGCAGTAGTGGTGACTTGGTGGAGTCGAGGCAATACTTGAGGAAAGTACGGATAGATGTGGAAGGTAGTATGGGCCCGTACTACTGAAAGCAGAGGATCCGTACTCGAATAAAGGAAAGCTGAGATGAGACCAGGAAACTTGTGATAGTAGTGATCCCTAGAGATATATCAGTGTTCCTGACGTTTATTATGATGTGTTTTCAGAATGGTGGTATTACGCCCTAGACCAGCAGTCGGCAGTTCAGGTGCCGGAGAGGGATCAGGATCAGGCCCGGAGGCCGGGCAGTTGGATGAGCAGACTAGGGAGTTTCTCTCTTCAGAGATTACTCGCACCATACTTGAGCAGACTCCTGTGATCTTCGGTTCGATCAATGAGGGTATCTTAGAGTTGATGGACGAGAGGTTGAGCACCTTCCGTGCTGAGGTGGCGGTCATGATGGGGTCGCGCACGCTTACTTTCAGGGAGTTCCGGGCATGTGGAGCTCCAGATTACCACGGGGCACGGGACCCCATAGCGAGTACTAGATGGTTGGCGGATGTGGCCAACGCTTTCCGCACGAGCAGGTGTCCCGAGGGGGACAAGGTCAGATTGGCGTCCTGTCTTCTGAAGGACAGGGCACGAGATTGGTGGGAGGAGGTAGGGCATGTCATCGGGGATGACGCAGCACTTGATGTCATGACTTGGGCTGATTTTACTACCATGTTCAGAGCCGAGTTTGCACCGGTTATTGAGGTGCAGCAGTTAGCCAGAGAGTTTCAGGATCTCACCCAGACTACAGAGACAGTAGCGGAGATTACCGCCAAGTTCAGGGAGAGGGCTCTTCTTGTTCCTCAGTACGCAGCTGATGAGGAAATGAAGAAGGCCCGTTATCATGAGATGTTGCGGAGTGATATCCACCAGTTTGTGAGCCGGTCCAGCTGTAAAACGCTGGATGACATGATTGCCAGGGCTCGAGAGAGGGAGATTGACCTTGAGATGGAGAGGAAGAGGAAGGCGGAGGCGGCTTCGAGTACAGGGAGTTCGGGCAAAAAGCCCAAGGTGTCAGATCACAGATCCAGAGGTCAGCAGAGCCACGGTCGGTGTGGCAAGTGTGGTAGATTGCACGATGGGGCGTG